TTCCAGGGGCTCTGACTCCCTCTTCTGGCCTCTGCAGGCATTGCGCACATGTGGTATACTTACATACATGTAGGCAAAATACTCATCCACATATAATAAATTTTGAAAATTTCAAAAAAAGCAACATGTAGAAAAATATTACAAAAATTCTATCATCTATATAACCTATATACAAAATAGATTGTGTACACACTGAATAAACCCATGTTCAGTTGTTCTGATAAAGAGACTGGAGACGATATAAAAAAGGAAAGGCAAAGACAGTAAAATAGTATCTACTGTTTATTCAAATAGATGGGGACTATTTAATGACTCTTCGTACTTTAATTACAGAATTTTCCCAAAAAAATCCAATTAAAAAAGAAATATTAGGGGCTGGAGAGATGGCTCCATGGTTAAGAGCACTTGCCCACATTTGGTTCCCACTGACCCACATTTGGTTCCCAGCACCCACACGGTAGATCACAACTGTCTGTAACTCTAGTTCCAAGAGAGCCAAAGTTGTCTTCTGGCTTCTGTGTGCACCAGCCATGTGTGTGGTGCACATTATTCATGCAGGCACACACACGTAAGCTATAAATAAAAAAATAAATCTTTAAAGGAAGAAAAATATCAAACTAGGCCTATGGAGTAAAAAGTGAACACCTCCCCCCGAGGTGAATGGGTCACTTGGGGGCTACAAAATCATGGTGGCCTCACTTTAGCAATGAATAAGAGGATACATTCAGATCAGAACTGCAAACAGGAATGAATGCCCAAGCAGCCAAGTGACGCTGGACAGCAGTAGGACTAGGCACCTCTGGAGAGGGGTCCCCTCATCACCATGGGTAGGCAGGAAGTGAAGGTTACACTGTTACCAGGTGCACTGGACTGAGGGTGCAGGACACAGTTAACACAAGTCCAACTTACATTTTCTAATCATATGCTGGATGACGTGCAGAGATGTCTCACCCAAATTCTTGTGCACACTCTTGCACATTACTTTGAACATACACTGTGCTAGGCATTCAAAAGAACTTCCTGGAATCTGGGTACTCACTAGCCACACATTTAAACCCTTTTAGGGTCTGAGGTTGCTGAACTGGGTCTTAGCCGTTTGCCTAGTAAGACTGCTAATTATGAGTTCCTCAACAGTTTGTTCCTTCATGGAACCTGGGATGATCGTAAGGCTCGCTTGATGGATTTTCATTAACTTTAATGGGTTTTGTTGGGGGTGGGAGGCTTTGGGCTTTTCGTAGGTTATGGTGCATGACGGGGTATGTGCCATGTGTGGAGTCTGTTCTCAGTCTACCTGTAAGTGGGTTTGAGGGATTACTGTGCAGCAGGCACCGCATCTGAGCCATCTTACCAGCATGGGTTTTGTTTTTTAAGACAGGACCTCACTATACGGCTCAGGCTGGTCTCAAACTCAAGCCCCTTCTGCCTCAGCCTACCAGGTTCTGGAATTACAGGCATGTACTACCATATCTGGCTGTTTTTAGCACTTTAATACAAGCTCTTTGCAGAGCAAAATATAATCTTTAAGAATGAAGAATGACAGGTACAAAGTGTCACTGCCTCATCATGCATGCAGAAACTCTTAGGTCAATACAGAAAGATTTCTGTATTTGGGGAGGCTCTCTGGCATTGTTAACGAGATTGGGATATTAGCAGCAATATTTTCTCCTACTGCTCAAAAACAGGATCTAGGCTCTTGCTGGCTGAAATTTTTGTAACATGTTTCTAGGAATGAACTCTTCAAGTGATGAGATGACAGCATTTGATGTTTTCACTGGGTGAATGTTTTATTTCAATATCTAACTTGGAGAGAGCCAGGAAGGAGCAACAGGCTTTCACATTTCTGAAGACCTTGCTTAATTAAAAATTCACAGTTCAAGTTCAAGTTTCCCACAGGGCAAATTCAAAAGCAGTCATCTACAAAGAAGATCAGGTGTATGTTCTCAGAAATCACAACTCTTCAGACATTAGAGGGTGTTGTTATTTTAATTGTTTTATTTTCTCAGCAGTAAGTACTAACTTTCAGAAACCCTCACACAAGATAACAGTAGAGTGCAGCACGGTGGTTAATGGGCTTCTCCGCAGCATCTGATTATAGCTAATGTACTTTCCTGGTGAACGATTCCGGGCCCTTCTAGTCAGCCTAGCCTAGCTTCGCTGCTGATGACTTTGCTCTAGGATCTGAAAATGATGTACACTCTAACAGCATGGACCCCAGCGCCCAGGTTCTGATGCCAGATAGTCATCCCCCTGCATCACTCCATGCAGGACCTTCTGCTTCTCAGGGATAACCGCACTGCCACGTGCTGACAGCATGCTGTCCATGCGGTTCACTGTGAGCTTTCAAACTGTAGGAGCCTTTATTGTTTTTTTAATTTGAGGGAAGGCATAAAGTTAAATAGAGAAGTTACTTAAAAACATTTTATATCTCAGTCTCTCACAGTGACTTCATTATTTTAACTTACAAATGAAAGACCTAAATAAAATAATCAAACTATTTTTTCCTACCTTTCATAACAAAGAGTCAGTCAGCACAACACACGTAAATTTGATCAATTTTTCAAATAGATTAAAATTTTCTCATTTTCCAGAAGAAACTGAAAGCAAGTTAAAAATAGCCATGCCACCAGGTGTGGTGGTGCACGCCTTTAATCCCAGCACTCAGGAGGCAGAGGCATGCACATCTCTGTGAATTCAAGGCCAGCCTGGTCTACATAGTGAGTTCCAGGACAGCTGGGGCTACAGGGAGACCCTGTCTCAAAAAGACAAAAAAAAAAAAAGCTGTGCCAGGGCTGAAGAAGAGATGGCTCAGCAGATAAGACCACCAGCTGCTCTTCCAGAGGATCTGGGTTTGATTCTCAGCTCCCATATGGCAGCTAACAACCATCCAAAACTCCAGTTTTAGGGGATCCAATGCTCTCTTCTGACCTCCCGGGGCACTGCAAAACACGGGTGCATGAAGGCACTCATACACATAAAAATAACAAAATATTAAAAAAAAAAAAAAAAGAGCACTGGCTGCTGCTTTTACAGAGGACCTGGGTACAGTCCCCAGAACCCACATGGGAACTGCCATAATTCTAGTTCCAGGGAATCCAACGCCCTCTTCTGGCCTCCACAGGGATTGTACACATGGATGCAGTTAGATGCAAGCAAAACACTCATATATATAAAGTTAAAATTAAAACATTATTTTCGGTAATTTTTGAGACAGGGCCTCCTTGTAGCCCCAGCTGTCCTGGAACTCACTATGTAGACCAAGCTGGCCTGAAGTCACAGAGATCCACCTGCCTCTGGCTCCCAAGTGCTGGAATTAAACTCATGCACTACCAAACCTGGCATTAAAATTTGAAAAAGGCTGTGCCTCAGTCATAAAAAGAAATACTAATGCATCCTAAAATATGAATGATCCTAAAGGGCTGACAAGGTCATTAAGAGCACTTGTTCTATCATGAGGACCAGAGTTCAGTCCCAGCACCCACAGGCAGCCCCAAGGCTTCTGATAGCCAATGATAGCCTCCTCAGGGACCTGCACATACACTCACATAGACACACACAAATAACAATAAATCTAAAACAAAGAAAATGAATGACCTTTAAAATATGCTAAGTGAAGGAAGCCAGATTCAAAACACCACATACTATGATTCCATTTAAATGAAATATCCAGAATAGGCAAATCCATAAATACAGAAAATTGTTTAGTGGTTGCCATGGGATGGGGAGTATAGAAAAAGGGAATGACTACCAATGGATATAAAAGCTCTTCTTAGGATGATAAAAAATATTCTAGGATTAGAGGCTGGAAGCACCATTCTGTAAATATATTGAAAACCAATGAACTGTACTACTTAAAAGGATCAACTGTCTCATATGTGGATGTTATCTCACTAGCGGCCGCCTCTGATGAACCAGCAAGCAAGGGTGGCACTGGCATCCCTCCCATCCCCACACCACTGGCCTCTTCTCTTCTCTCACAAGCTGCCCAAAGGTGCTGTGTAGACATCCTTGTGTCTTTCTAATCCCACTCTCCTCTTCAGCATCCAGGCCCTGATCAGACTGAGCCTCCAACAGCAGCCTGCCTCCCACAGCCTCTCCACTCCACTTTTCAAGCCATACTGTGGACCACGGTGCCTCTTGCTGTCAACAGTTCTAAAGTTCCTAGTCAGCACCAGGATGGGGCCCCTGCTTTGCAGTAGGCACGCAGTAGGCATGCAGGCCCACCTGGGTTCTTTGCAGTAGGCATGCAGGCCCACACGGGTTCTTACTTGCCTCTCATTTAAAATCTAATGGGGTCAGTCTTGTCAGTTACACCGTTGACCTCAGCTTCCAATTACCCTGTGGAGCTACAGAAGGCCAGGTGCCTGATGCCTTTCCTTCACCTCTTGGCTTAATTATTCAAAGCACCTCCCCCTCCATAATGTGCCCGTCTGTGCAGACTGTGCCTCATCAACCAAGGCATCAGATAAACTGAGCTGCTATAGGGCTTAGGGCATCCCTCCACATCTCAGGCTCCTTGTGTCCTGCAAAGCATGTGCACCCTAAGGCCAGCTGTGAAGTGTCATTAGCTAGGTGACCACCTTAGAAGAGGCCTGTTAGGGCCTCAGGGTAGATAGACCTGTTCTCATAGCATGCATGGAGTCCACGACACAGCATCAGCCGGATCTCACACTGAACATATGTGTAAAGGTGAGAGGAGGAAAGGGGGGAGCTGCCAGCCAGGACAGCTATCAGTCACCACCACCCCTCCAAAATAAAAACCCCAGGGCACAGCTGTGGCTCAGCAATGTGGACAGGCTGGTTGACAGCAAGGTCCTACATCATGGAACTGACTCAAGCCCTGTTCCTGCACTCAGGAACCATTCACTTCTGGCTGATTCCTTATCTACCTAAATTCTTGTAAATTAAGGACCCACACCACCTGGGATGCCCAGGGAGAACCTGGGCAATCACCCTTTGGGAACACAGTGACCCTTCAGGAAAAAGCAGATGCCCCGTCTCACCTGGACCTGGGCTGTTGGGAGCCCAGCTGCCTGTCTCCCCTCCTCCTCAGGGCTCCCCTCCAAGTGCCACACTGGATTCTGATGGCAAAGAGCTGGGAAAAGAAAAAGAGGTCATGGAGGCACCTCTTCTGCTAGAAGCTCAACCACCCCAGGAAGATGAGGATGGCCCAGTCCTACCCATTCCTACCATCACGGGGGAGGAAGAAACCCATTCCTCATCTTATAGAGTAAGGAAACAGGGCTCAGAGAAGGTAACATATGAACCCTTACTGATCTCCTACACTCTAAGTCACCATCTCTGAGAAGCACTGTCCATTTACAGTCTTTCCAAGTCTGAGTCCTGAACGGCTAGACATTAATTCTCATGCTTTCTGTCCTAGATGTCATCATCATTTTATTCCCCCCCCCCAAAAAAAATTCTGATTCCTCTTTGTTCTAACTCTACAGAGACAAACCTGGACTGCAAACTCCTGTTCTGAAGAACCACCTGTTCCCCAGCTCTGATCTCCAGCTAGGGCAGATCACTGTAGGAAGGAGACATTACACGGCAGCCAACATGGCTGAGGATATAGGTTCTTGACTCACCCCAGGAGGCACGTGGGTCAGCAACTGCCATACCCCAGGATTGGTCCATGAGGGTGCCTGCAAAGAAGGATCAGATTTTACGGGGCTGGAGAGATGGCTCAGCAGTTAAGAACACTGGCTATTCTTGCAGAAGACCCGGGTTCAAACCGCAGCACCCACATGACAGCTAACAACCATCCTAACTCCAGCTCCAGTGGATCTGACACCCTCTTCTGTTCTCCAAGGATACTGCATGACACAAGTGCACTTACACACATGCAGACACGGCACTCTAGACATAAAAATAAATCAAAAAAACAGAAGGATCAGATTTTAGGATTATGACACAAACTAAAGATGACATAATAGAAAAAGAAACTGACTTACTAATGGTTGTAACAAAGCCCCATACACAGAGCTCAAGAGCATGTAAAAAATTCAATATGAGCTGAATTTATACAGGAAATGCACAAGTGGAACATGTAACAACAAGGCCATTCAAAAGAGGAATGGGTTTTGGGCATGGTGGTGCATGCCTTTAATCCCAGCAGTTGGGAGGTAGAGGCAAGCAAACTACTTGAGATAGAGGCCAGCCTGGTCTACATAGCCAGCTCTAGGTCAGCTGGGGCTATAGGGAGACCCTGTCTCAAACAAACAAACAAACAAAAATCAAGAATGAGGGGCTGGAGAGATGGCTCAGCGGTTAAGAGTATGTGCTACTTGTGCAGAGGACCCAGGTTTGGTTCCAAACCACATCAGATGGCTCACAACTGCTTAACTCCACTTTCAGGTGATCCAATGGCCACTTCTGGTTTTTACAAGCACCAGGCATGCATGTAATGCACATACATACATGCAAGCAGTCACACATACACATGAAGTCAAAACAAAACTTTTTTAAAAAATCAAAAATAAAAACAGGAATGAAGAAATATCTGATAAACTTTAACACTAATTAGAAATATCTTTCAAATGTAAGTAGCAGAACACCCTTTGATAATGAAATGTCCCTTACAGATAAAACTTCCATACACCACTATTAATATTGTTTTTAAAATACAGATCAATGCTATATAAGTGAAACGCAATCAAGTGAAAAACATGGCAGAAGGAAAACCATTCTGAGTATACGCATTACATGACTGTCTTCTAATGAGTACCACAAGTTACTGGATTATCTCACAGAGGCACATGGGTCAGGAGCTGACCACCAATCACCTCTAATTTTGTACCAATTCAGCCAGACCTTTTATCATTCCCAAACATCCACAGCCTCTTCTCAACCTTGACCTACAGCTACAGAAGGTCTGAACTAGGACAGGCCCAGAAAAATTGGGACTTGGACTCACCCCAGGAGGGCCACGGGTTGATGGCTGCCATCCCTGAAGACTGATCGATCAACTAAAGTCTTGTCCAGGAGCACTGTAATTATCAACCTAGAGACAAGGTAGAAAAATACCAAACTGGTCCTTCCTCACAGGTGACTCAGTGGGAAGAAGAACCGAGCCACAAAACCAACAAAAACCCTGAGGATGCAAACTAAGAAAACATAATTCACATTTCAGACATGACATGTAAATGACATGACAAAACATGACATAAGAGTCTATGTGGTGATATATCTGCAATCCCAATACTGGGAAGGCAGAGACAGGGTTTTCTGACCAGTCTATCTGGCCAAATCGGTAAGATTCAGTCAGGACTTGGACTCATTTGAGAGACCCTGTCTCAAAAAATAAGACGGACAGCAACTGAAGAAGATACCCAACATCGACTTCTGGGCTCCACATACATACACATATGCAGAGAGAAAGCAGGGGAAGTGTGAACCAGAGCAAAATTAAATATAACTCAAAAACACCGGCAAAGGCAAGTCCAATCCTGAATAAAGGTGAAAGGTGTGGGCCATTCCTTCCCAAGGGTGAGCCACTCATAAGGAACTTTCCAGTTGATGTACTGTGCATACATTAGTAGCCTAGAGCTGGAGGACGGGGAAAGTGGTGATTCCTAAAGGTGGCAAGAGGTTCTTTGGGGAGCGATGGAAGTTCTGGAATTGGGAGTGTTGATAGCTACACAACTTTATGAAAATACAACAAAACCACTCAATTCCACACTTCAAGATGGTTTAAGTGTGATCATATACAAATGTTATAGTCAAAAAACAAACACAAACAAAAACAACCCAAATGATCTACAAGTCTCAAGCCTATTGGTCCCCTTCTGCAGTGGCAGTCAGAGACAAAGGTTCAGAAACAGACCCCATAACTACCCAGGTTCTGGGTTTTTGACTGAGGGTCTTAACCTCTGAAGGGATTCTTCAGGGTGCATACAAAGCACTAGCAGGTTCACAGGGCCTCAGAAGCCTCAGGATCTGAACCAAAACTCAAGGCAAGCAAACTGAATTTTACACAGCTACAAGAAAAAGAACCCTACACACACATGCACATGCACACACACACACACACACACACACACACACACATACACACACACACACACAGACACACACACACACACACACACACACACACACACACAGAGTCACTTCAAGTTTAAAAGAACCTGAGTCAGCTGGTCGGTTACATATCTGAATTCAGAGCAATGGTGACAGCATTCACAAGTCCTATGCAAGCTCAAACCAGACAAAAATCCCAGCCTAGACATGGGGAGGTGGGTAAGAAAGCCCAACCCAATCTAAGGAAATTCTGGCAACTGATGGCTCCTGGGAGGGAGAAAGGACAGGGTCTTACAAGGATGGGACACTTGGTAGGTTGACCAGGCTCCAGTGCATGGATCCACACTGACCGGCACTGGGAGACACAAATCAGACGAAATACAGATAAAGATATAGGGATAGAAAGATATAGATAGATATATCAATGCTATAAAGTGAAACACAATTAATTAAAGTGATATAGGTAAGAAATTACATTAAATTGGGGAGGGCAGTGGAAGGTGGTGTGGATTAGGGAGGGGCTCTAAACACCATCATTGAAATATTTGGAGAAAAACAATTGCATCTGCAAAAATTAGAGAGCCTCTTCAATAAATTCTGGTTATATTAAAAAATAACAAAGACCCCCTCCCCGGTCTTCCCAACTCTTCACTGCTCTTTCTGTGACAGAGAAGGTTAAACACAGCCCCTAGAGCCCTAACCCCTGTGCCCGGGCCTCAGTAACCCCGTCGCTCCAGGCCCGCCTTACCTGGCTTTGCAGCCACCTGCCCTCACACTGTGCTGTGGCTTAGCTATCCCAGGGCTACAGCACGCGGCCTCGGAACAACGCTGCAGGCCCGACCCACCGGGCGGACCCTGCAGGCGATGCACCCAGACCCGGGGAGCCGGAGGGCAACGGGGGCAACAGGCCGGCGCGGACAGAGCAGTCGCCGGACACGTACCCGCACCGAGCCGGCCCTGACCGCAGGCGCTGCCGCTCCGCGCTCGTCCTCTCTGTCCTAGTCCTCGCGACCAGCCTGTCTCAGCCACAACGGCATCAAGTGTCCAACGGTCCTGGTTAAGGCCTCACCTCGGCCGTGGACAATGGCGGCCGCTCCCCCAGTTTGACCAGGACGCGACGCGGTGTCTGCTGGGAGTTGTAGTTTCGAGGAGCCGGGCTTCGGGTTTCTACCGGAAGCAGAGCCATTGGCCAGCGTCAGAGCATTTACACCTCAAGTCCGTTTCTTCCTCTGCGGCAGCTCGACCCTTAGGTTCCGCTGCTATGCTAAAGCGGGGTGGGGGGGTGCTCTCCCGCAGCAGACTAGCCTCTCTTGACGCTTCTGCCCACCTGAGGAGAGTCAGAGTCGGAATAGCTTGGCGGGACCGGAGCTTCAGTTAGCCCCTTCCGGAAAATGGCAGCTCTGAGTAACCGCTGTCTCAGTAGAAGCTCAAAGACGCGGCATACTCTCAAGGAATCGCTTCCTTAAACATTGACAAGATTGTGAGAAAATGGTTGCTGTTAAACCTATTTTCTTTTTTAAATGAAGAACTGGTCTGGTGTCTCCTTGCCCATGAAGTCCCACTGCTGGGGCCGTCCCCAAATCTAATTCCAGATGGCAAAGCTTTATGGAAACCTAAGTTATCCATTTATTTTGTGGTATTTCCCTGAGTTGTCAGAGTAATGCTGGGGGAATAGAACAGAAAACAGCTAACGATACCTTTACCATGCCAGCTGCATTGACCATGAGCTAAAAAACACAGACAGCAATTGAAAGATTTCTTGTGGGAGACCCCAGCCACTGACCACCAGCCTCTAGTTAGAACTGAACTTGAAAGATCCCTCAAAGAAGATGCTATTGACATTCAAGGCCCAAGGGTGTGATCTGTGCTGAAAAACTTCCCACGATCACCACCTCAGTGAGACAGGCACCTTCTATGCATCATCCAGCTTATTGAGGCCCTACCATGTGAGCCAGGTACATAAGTATCCAGGCCAAATAGGAGCTGTTTATGCCCTAGTGTATGGAGGACATGATAACAGACAAGAAATGCAAGTAAAAGTCTCTCAGACATGCACAGGCACACAGTTATGGATCACAGAGAAGCAAAGATGACCTCAGAAAACACATTAATCCTAAAATGGTTAGACTGAGTATCTAAGAGGAAAGGGTAGGTAAAGACTGAGGAGCATGTTAGAAGTGGCTGAAAGTTTCAACAGTGAAAAGTACCAAAGAGTGACAGGAAGAGGAAATGACCTTGAGCTTCCAGTCCTTCTACCTCCATCTTCAGAGCACCCGGGATACAGGCATGCAGCACCGCTCTTGATTTTATGCAGTGCTGGAGGTCAAACCCAGGGCTTTGCGTAGCACTCTATGGACTGACGTACATCCCCAGCCTGGAGATACAGCTTTTATGTTGTTACAGAGAACCACTGAAAGTTATAGAGTGATGTTATATGCATTTTTAAAGAATTTGTTGGATAGTTAATGTAAAGAAGGGACTTCAGGGGACAAGGTTAGGTGGTAATTTAGGATTCTGGACCTTGATTAATAGTAGGTTCTAAGAAAAGGTCACTTTAAGAAGGCAGGTGGGTTGGATTTGTATTGGTGGTATTGGCACTCACTGTAGACAGACAGAAAGGAATAAACCTTCCAGAGTGGGTTTAGAAGCTAAAGAAGGACAGGCCAAATTTGAGAGAGAAGTTTACTAGGGGATGTAAAGGGAACAAGGTGCTGGAAGGGTCCCTAAGTAAGAGGAAAGTGAGCATGGGCAGAGATCAAGTATTGAACAACAACAACAAAAAGCAATATATGGGGGCTGGCAAGATGGCTCAGCAGGTAAAGGTAAAAGTGGGTTAACCCTTAAGCACATAAAATATCAAGTCCTAGGGCATGGTGTGAGAGACTTGTAATCCCAGCACTCAGGAGGCAGAAGCAGGAAGATTGAAAGTTTGAGGCCAGCCTAGGCTACATAGTGATACTGTCTCAAATTAATTAATTAATTAAGATTATTATTATCACAAAACAAAGAACTGATGCAGAAGGGGAAACGGTGAAATACTCAATCCAAAAGAACCATGAATGGGAAAACAGGGAATAGAAAACAGATCAATTAGAACACAAATTACAAAGTGGTACACATAAGCCCCAAACTTAACAATTATATACTAATATTAATTTATTGCTGAGGCTATAGTTCAGTGGTAGAGCACTTGCCTATCATTCAAGAGCCAGGTAAGGTCTTGGGTTCAATCTCCATCACTGAAAAAAAAAACTTTTAAAAAGCCTGATTGTTTTCAAATGTCTTCAAAGTAACAATAATAAGATACAGGGACTCACTTCTCAACTAAATCATGAAATCTGTAAAACCATAGTGTAACCATAGTGTAGTATAATTAAAGTGCTAGAAAAAATTAAAAAACCTACGGATCTACAAGTCTACCCAAAGTGTCTTTCTGGCCAGGTTTGGTGGTGTGCATACATTTGATCTCAGGCCTCCATACACGTGTGCACACACATGTGTACACTCACATGAAAACATACACACACACACACACACACACACACACACACATGAAAGGGAGCAAAAAGATTTTTCTCCTGAGCACATTCGGTTTAGGAGCATCTCATCATTGTCAGAACTTCATAAGTTAGTGACCATCTTTATCCCAATTGAAATACATAGACAGTATATTTAAACAAATGGCCAGAGCAGAAGCTTGGAAGGGGCACAGAGCATCAATACTGAAGTAAATGCTAAATGCAGAGAAAATATTCCACACCCCCATGCAAACTATGAGCATACAAAATTAGTCACAGAGAAGCCAATCTTGAATGTAAGAAAGTAACTGGAAATGTTCTTCCTTTTTTCTTTTTTCTTTTTTTTTTTTGGTGGGAGGGGGAAGGGGAAGGATAGATGTTAAAACAAGGCTGAAACGTCTGTTTGCCACATATAAATGTGGACAGGAAAGCACAAGAAATTACAAAACATGATGTCCAATGCCTTCAATCTCAGCTATCCAGGAGGCTGATGCAAGAGGATTTCAAGTTGAATCCTAGCTTCATTATGTAAGTTCTAAGCAAGCCTGCACTATATAGTGAGACCTGCCTTGAAAAAAGGCAGGGGAATAGATGGGAGAGAAAAAAGAACAGAGAAAGTTTAATTATATAAAATGGATGGCTATGTTCACATCTTGGATTTCTGTGGAAAGCCTGTGTGTGTGTGTGTGTGTGTGTGTGTGTGGTGTGATTGCTGATAGTGTAGTTTGTACATATCTTTGGCACTTTCACATATCAAGTAAGAATTAGTTTACAAGTTTTGCATTTTCATAGTTTTACAATTACAGATTCAATTTGTCAGTATTTAACATAACTATATTACATGACATTGAACAGAAATATGCTTACATATGAATAGTCTCTTGACTACAGAGACAGGAAAACTGATGCATGTGCTTATTTAAACATGCCATTTCAACTAAACAAGTCAAGAATGAAGGAATGAGAATTTACCGAGGCAGAGGGAGGAGCTCGGGAGCTGATTCAATGGGTAAGAGCACTTGCTGTGACCCTAACCTTAGCCCTCTGTGCCCACCATTCCAACTCCTAGGCCTGCTCAAGTTCCACAGCTCTGTGTAACCTGAAAGTTTCTCCAGACCACTGAGTACCCTAACCCTAACTCTCTGTACCCCTACCCCAGATCTCAGGTGTGCTGGGTCTTTCAGTTCTGTGCATGCCCCCAGACCTGAAAGTTCCCCCAGACCTGTAAGTTCCCTATTCTCAGCATTCTGCCACCGCCTCCAGTTACCCAGCTCCATGCACCTGCCATACCTATGAGTGCCACCACACATTCGAGTTCTTTCACATCTGTGAGTTCCCCAATACCAGACTTCCCTGTCCACCCATCCATCATTCAGGATATAAAGACTCTATAGCTTCCTGGACCCCTAGACCTGTGAGTTCCCCCAGATCTGTGAGAACCCACAGCTTTCTGCCACCCTATCCCCTAGGTCAAGCTGTAATTGTGCGACTTTAACACCAGCCCAGCTTGGTCAAGCAAAGAGAACATCACCTGCTTTTGTGTACACTCAGGAATACCTGGAGTTATACAGTTAGTTCATCACAGCAGATAGATACCATCAAGAGTCACACTAACACATTTTCTTGGTTACCACTAAATTGGAATCACTACTCATCCTTCCATTCAAATATCAACAGAGACCTCTCTGCCAACCTGTGCTCTAGCAGCCAGCAAGCTCACCCTACTGTCATAGGACCATGTGGAGTCTGTTCTGGAGCCTCGGACTCAAAACATGTATCTATCCCTAACTCAAAACATGTATCTATCCACTTCTTACCTCTACCCATTTGCACATCAAACCAAAGTGTCTCCAAGACTGAACACCATGACATTCTGTTCACGTTCCCTCCCCTTGGGCCTTGGACACTTCCCTTTGAGACTGCATGAAGGGGACTGACTCCCCAGCAGCCTGCCTGGGTGAGTTGCCCAAATCCTGCCACACCCACCCCCCTGCTTCGGGAGCATTTCTAGTCTCTCCCACTGCTCCAGGGCTCAGGCCTTCCCTGCTGACTAGTAGGGACCGGCACATTATGCTCCCATTTCCTCTCCTTGGGCCTTGGCCCTATCCCTTGGAGGCTGTGGAGAATGTCTGACTAGCCAGGGCTCCTTCACCCTCCTGGAGAGCTACACCCTCCTGAGTAGCCTTCCTGTATCTATCAGTCCCTCCAATAAAAAAAAATCAAAAGAGAAAACATACACAGCAGCTAACAGCCACCTGTAACTCCAGTTCCAGGGTATCTGATGACCAATTCTGACCTCTGTGGGCATTGTATGGGTACACTCACACATGTAGGCAGTACATTCATATACATAAAAAATAAAATATTTTATAAAAATAATGAATTTCTAGATATGTATGGCCTACCAAAATTTACCCAAGATGAGGTAAACAGTTTAAACAGACCCATAACAACCAATGAAATAGAAGCAGTAATTTTAAATCTGCAAATGAATAAAGCTCAGGACCAGGCAGATGCCACCCAGAATTCTACCAGTCTTTCAAAGGAGAATTAATACCAATATTCCTCAAATTATTCCATAAGATAGAAAAGAAGATAACATTTCCAAATTCTTTTTATGAAGACAGTATCATCCTAATAACAGAACCAGATAAAGATCCAACATAGACACAAACATTCTCAGCAAAGTAGTTGCAA